GGCTCGGGCTCATATATAGCCCGAGTGTGCTTTCTGTCGCTCTTCTATTCGCCGGTGCCGCACCATATAGCACGGGAACGGCAAGGGGGCTATTCCCCAGGGGTAGGTGAGATCGGGAGGTGAGATGCGGCGGCGGAAGGGGGAGGGTTCGAGTCTAGGGAAGAGCAGCGTCGAAAGAGGCGAGCGAAACGAGGAACGACGAACGGAGAGAAAGAGAGGAGGATGGAAGGTGTGGCGAAGGGGGAGGGGGAGGAAACACAGGAAAAGGAGAAGGCTACGAAACGAAAGATAGAGGGGAAGGCGCGCGGCGAAGAGAAAGACAGCGGTGAAATGAGAAAGGTATAGAACGAATGGAGCGAGAAAGGAGAGAGGTTGGCAAGGGTGTGCGAGGGGTAGTGCAGTTTCGTGTTGGCATTACTCTTGATTTCCGTGGTGACGTCGCTACCTCGGCTGCCCTTTCCCTCCTGTGTTACTGCTCTGCCTCTTCCTCCTGCTCTGCTTCTCCTCCGCCGCGGTGTCTTGTGTTTTGCCGTTTCTATGTGCAGGGCCTACACCCGCACCCAACTACACCACCTACCAGCCCGTCCTGATACGGAGAAAGAGCAGCCACCCGGACTATCCGGCAGAGATAGATCCTTTCGTGCGCCCTACCTACGTATATCGTTCCAGTCTACGAATACAAACCGTCTCCACGCGTACGTGTAGAGACACACTCACATAGCTAGCCCGGTTGCCTTTCGTTGCTCGCAAGCCGCGGGTCGCGAGCGGGAAAACCCTTCGCACCGGCCATTATATCACGGTAAACATCTCAGCGCCCCGAAACCGCGTTATACGCCGGATAATAAAAAATTAAGGGACCTCGGGATCGGCCAACTTTTCCCTCCGCGCGTTCGCTTCCTCATCTCGGCCAGCTGGCCAACTAAATGACCGATAATGAATCCATCGTGGTTCAGCTCACTCGGTGGACACTGGCACGCAGAAGAAAGTTTGCTACGCTACGATTGATTGACGGAGTAGGTTCGAAACGACCGAGGTAGAGGTAAATCGAGAGCGAAGTTGGAGAAACCTTTGCTTCGACTGGCGAATATCGCTTCGACAGGTGAAGGCGCGTTTAAAAGTAGACGGTGAGAATACGTTTCTTCTTTTTCTTATCGATTCTTTGAATTCTGTGTATTGGTCGCAGCGTTAGAAGGGCTAGAAGGGTTAGAAGGGAACGTGCACCTGGCCATTTAAACTCAAGCGTAAACTTCAGTCGGCGTTTCAATCGGTACGAAAGTTTAAACGCTCGATTTGTTCTTTCTTTTCAGAAGCGTCGCTTGTTTGGTAGAAAGAATTTGCCACCACGACTTTGTATCGCGCGTAGGAATTCCTACGTTTGAAGAGAAAGGGAGAGACAGCTCGGGGGTACTCAACTCAAAGAGTGGTTGATACCTGTTTTTCCTCGGAGGCGCTATCTCTTATCCAGTTCTGTCGTTGGTTTCCCTAACGTCGACGCGAAAGGCGGTTGTATGTTCGGCGAAAGCTTCTTTATTTGTCCGCTACCACGTACACACATTCTCTCTCGGTGATTAATTCTCCATGAATTGTTGCAAATTTATGTCGAGAATGCGAATGAAGATAAAAGAAGTACGAGCTCTCTTACATATCTTACAAGTCTCTTAAAAGTTGTTAATGGAATACCGCGAAGACATATATTAGTTTTTTAAGGCACCAACGAGATAGAGCTAAATTGTAGTTGAGAAATATGAAAGTCTGCAATGAATTAGACTAGTTAAAGGTGAAAGTGCACGACGTTCAAATGACAACTAACTGTAAATGACAAATCAACAGAAATGCGTTCCTCTTTACGCTTGATAATTTCAGTCCAAGAGGAAGTAGGTATTCGTGCCATTCTCGTGAAATTCTCAAATTCATATTTTTCACAACACGAGTCTCAGACAATCTTGTCAACGAGATTGCCAATTGATTAAACGTAGTTTTTTTCGACGTACATGGTCGATAAGAGTTTGGAAATATCAATCGGTTTCAAAGTCGTCGCAATCGCGACGTCTCATATACAATTTCAACTTCTGAGTTCGGAAGATGCCCTCACGAGAGTCCATGCGTCAAAGCTAATCTTCAATCTTGAGAGTCTAACCAATCGAAACACCTTGATCCTGTCGAGCAATAATTTCTCAATCGTCGACTCTTGGATCGTGTCGGATAGAGCCGGATTCCGTTCTGGCAAAAATCTGTCTGCGAAGGAAGCTTCGACGGTTGACGGGAGGCCTAGTCGAAAATCCGATCGGGGAAAGGTCGAGTGCGAAATAACGGTGGAACAACGGCGAAAGTCGAACGAGAGGGTGCACAAGCGAGGAGAGAAGGGGATGGTGGTTCGGATCGGCGTACAATATAGCCTCGCGATTGCCCAGTAAATATCGGGGCGAGGTTATAGCCGGGCTCCGCGGCCCGTAAACCAAGACATTAAATTTTATAATATTGCGTCCCGTCTCGCTCCCGTCCCTCCTCGACATCGACCCCTCTGGTCGTCGTTTCACCTACCTACCCCTTGGTAGCGCGCGAGCGGGGTGGACGCGGGCGCGAGCGAGTCAGAACGCGAGCGCGCACCCGTGCTTTTATTGGCTATTTACAGAGGAAATGGCCTCTAAATTAACTGCAGACTGCCGGATTGCTACCTATATCGAGCAGGCTCGTATAACGCCTCGCCGCTCCCGCTGCCCGTTAAGATCAAAATCG